TTAAAATGATTTTGTAGTTATGATTAATTTTTAGTTCAATAAATGAAAAATGAGTTGAATATATCATCATGAGATACAATTATATTTGTATAGCTGCCACAATAATCTCACCCTTCCATTCATGCATCATTGTAGTAGTAGATAGTAGTTACAACTTGTATATATGATGAACATGCACACATGCCTTTATTTATTATTTCTAGCTGAACGTACAATGAGTTTTTGTGCTAGCCAGGTACTAAATATTATTCCTAGCTCGTTTAAGTAATATACATTGCTAGTGTATGTAAATTTAAAATTGTTACATGGACAAACTATGTATAGAACTTAAACTCCCCATCTAGAGTGTCTAGAGTTGCATGAAGTTATTTTGGTGGTCTTCTTGTTGATTATTTGTTGTTAGTTCTAGTTCAATTTCCAAGTATGTCAACCACTTTTGGCATTCAAATTCATCTACAAGCTGCTGAGGATGATGTTCACTAGTAGTGTCCAAGTTGGAGTAGCTGTCTAAATGATCCAAATTATTAATACTAGTAGGAGTACTACTAGTATCCAACATGTATTCCCAAAAGTCCATAACTTGATCATTAGCCTTGGAAGAAGTGGGAGAGAAAGACTCTAAAGTAGTGCTATTATTATCCATGTATTGGCCTTGATGACTACTTGTTGAAGTTGATGATGAAGAAGAATTGTATTCCTCTTTCTTCATCATTACTAATCTCTTCTTCAAATGAGTATTCCACACATTTTTAATCTCGTTATCTGTTCTTCCAGGTAAATGAGATGCTATCTTTGACCACCTGTACCATCATACACGTGAAATTAATTTCAAGACATAGATATACAACGTAAATTATCTCTCTTTTTCACTCACTGTATATACCTGTTGCCAAAAGCGCGATGTAGGTTAATAATGGTGTCCTCTTCTTGTGGGGTGAAATTCCCTCTCTTTACGTCAGGTCTTAGGTAGTTAATCCACCTCAACCGGCAACTCTTCCCACACCTCAATAACCCTATACACATATGCCGATATAATAATGAGTTAAGCTTCTATACACTGGCCTGGATGCTAGCTAGCAATCAAGTCGATCACCATTGATAAATAAATTCTTAAAAAAAGATCGATGAGACACGTGTTATCTGCTACAACAAATAAAAATACGTACCAGCTTGTTTAGGAAGGGCACGCCAATTGCCATGGCCATGTTTTTGTATGAAAGAAATAAGCTTCAAATCTTCAGAAGTAGTCCATGGCCCTTTCTTCACTTTACTTTTATCACAACAAGCTGTTCTTCCTTTACCCATAATATTTAATAATATTACTTGTGTATATATATATATATATATTATAATATAATATAAGATATGATATGATCAATAATCTCTTATAAACTCACATATACGTTATATTAGTTTCTTTCTGATGAACCAATACATATATATAGTAGGAGGGTTTAAGATGTCTAATAAGGAGTGGGTCCATCCCAAGAATTTCATGTGGACCCTAATATATTAATTAGAAAAAATAAGTAGTATCTGATGAAGTTATGTTTGTACATATATTTTACGAGAGAAATGTTGAAGTTTTGCGAGTAAAAAGTAATTTGAAGTACTTAAAAATGAGTCAAAAATAACCAATACTCCATTTCCAAAATTGAAGAAATATTGAATAGAATTATACAACTATTAATTTATATATTTCAAAAATAACCTCTTTACCTTCACGAGATAGTAGTAAGATTACATTTATCTTCCTCAGACCCCATTTAGTAGAATTTTATTGAATATGTTATTGTTGTTAATCAATATATTGAACATACGCAATCACAAAGAAACTATGTAATGGAATAATTGAAGTTTCTTTTACTTTTAATTTATCATAATCCTAGCTTATTTGAGTTTTGAAAAAGGAAAACTTCTCAATGAAAATCGTTTTATTTTTCAATTTATTATACTATTAATAAGCAAATTAACAGTATTGTAAGATTATTGAGCAATAATAATTTAAAAATGTTCTTATCATAGTATAATATTGTCCATTTTGAATTAAGATCGCATAGTTTTCTTAAAAGACCTTACATCATTAAAAATATCAAACAACTTATAAGTAATCTTTTTAATTATCAATATAAGACTTTATTCACGCTTGAAAGTTTCAGTCCAGAGATTTATAATACTCACAAATAACAAAAGAAGAACACGTGTTGAGTCATATCTATATAATATATAATATAATAATTTAGAAAGATTAGTGCTGATTTTCTTACCTACATTAGACCAAAAGTGGACATCCTTTTACACAGTGATATATATGTTGTCACAGTTAGTTTGGTAGGATTTCCTAAAGCGTTGAAACTTTTTTTCAACTTCCAACATATAAATAAATATATATTTCCCATACCGAATTAGTAGAAAATCCATGTTATAAAAAATAATTTTCACAGTTTATCTCTCAGCGAATCAGTTCATAGAGAAAATGCACAATGAAAAACAATTTTTTAATTAAAATAGTGAAAAGCTTTCTAATTTTTCTCTATAAAAACGTTATTATTTTTTTCTCATCAATTTAATCAAAATATTTATGCAAATAGCGATTGAACATTTTTAGCGGAAAAATAGTTTTCTTTAGTAGTGTTTTTTGTGCCTTGTGTAGAAATATTACTCCTTTAGTTTTCCACATATCTAGTGGTAAAAGTTGTGTTTTTAATTTGTTTATTTTTAAATAAAAAGAATCAGAAAGCTGCTAAGGTGAATTGTTGTGACAATACACTCTTTTGTCATAGTTTAATTATGTGATCCAGTACCATTAATTGTTGACATATATACATACTAAAAAGAGATGATTTTTTTTAAAAAAAAAAAGAAATGCATGGGACAGTCAGTTTCACAATTCTAAAATGACAATTAAACGTAATTTTTCCTTATTAAAATGGATAAGGAATTAAAAGCAGCATGCATTTAGCATTTGCCTCAGCAAATAAAAACTTCATCCGCTCAGTGCGGAGTCAAAATTTTCACTTAGAGAATTTAAAATATAAAGAAGTAGATATATGAACTAATCGAAGGGGGTGTAACATCTCCTATATATATACCTAAAAATTATTCTAATCATATATAAAAAATGTAATTTTTCACCAAAGATGATTCGGATGACCCCCTAACCATAGGGTACCTTCCGTTCACTTTTGTTTGTACACTTTAGACTTTACACGTCTCTTGAAAAATAATAGTTGATATGAGGATTTGACATAATGTCATATTAATTGATTTTTGGTATTAAGTCTTGGAAAATAAGTAATTAATTGTAATACTTAGTAAAATATGAAAAAAAAAAATTGATTTGTTAAAAATGTCAAGTAGTAAAAGCGAAAATCGATTTTTGGAATAATGAACGAGTAAAAATAAATGGAGGAAGTATATATGCCAATATTGTTTTTAGATTAATCTTTATTCATTTATTTATTTTAAATATGAATTACGGTATTGTTTGCATTGCTAGCGTAAGATTTGATGACTTTTAAGAACCAATAATAATAATCTCCTACATATGATCAGTTATAATTTAAACAAGAATATAATTCTTATGTGCTTCATTTATAAAGAATTGTTTATGTTTATAACTTTTTAAAAAATAGTTTAAGTAGCCTGTTATCCTAGGGAGTTGCCACTTGGGATCACACAAAACGCCACATTTTAGTATCATTAATTAGTTTTTGCCAAATATAGTTGACGTGTCATGACTTGCAATTTGTGTTTTTTTATGACCACAAAATTTAATGACATGACATGATTAATCTAAGCATAGTGGAATTGTAAATTTGATAAAAAGTCATCTATCAGTTGGACTTGAGAACCATCACAATTAATGCCATTTCCTAATTAAACACCTAGTCACGTATAATAATTTTACAAATTGTGTTTTTCTATGCATGCATTCTTAATTTTTAATATGTTTTATTTGAGTTAAAAGTCTATATATATGTGGCTAATAATTAGTTAATGTATTGAATTTGGTTGGAGGGTGAAAGGCACATAATGTTTGACACGCATCAAACTTGTGTTATCCACATGTATAATCTTAAGCTCCTCTTACAGTATCAAATATTATATTAGCCTAGGTGCTTATAATTTAAAACAAAATTGGTAAATTTTCATGAATCTATGTCTCTAATTCCCAAACAAATCAACTACACGTATTTTTAATGTTGTCAATGCCTATTCGAAGGGCCTGAAATTGATGACAATACACTCTTTTGACACATCAACTTACAAGCAGCTAATATTAGTAATCATCAAAAGGTGTGATGCAGTGGATAAAACTATTCCTTTTTTAATCAGTGATCTCGTGTTTCAATCCTTAGTATGGAGAAACCTACGCTGTGCAAATAAAAAATAATCGAACTCCAATGCCGGAGATTAGACACCAAATGGAAAAACAAAATACCAATAACACTTTTATCATCACGTAAATTTGGTGATTTGAACTTGTAAGCACATGAAACTTTCAAAGTGTTCACACATTGGCAGGTAAAAGGATCCGTGCACTATCAAGATTGCTCTACTTTTGATTGAGAGAGTCAGTTTTATCAAAAGGTAGAATCCAAATAGGTGAAAGGACGGCAGAAAAAATGGGACCATGTTTGACAAAATATTATTTATGGTTGCAGCATTCTTTGACAAGCTAAAGAGTCCAAATACTCTTCACCAACAACTATGAGTTATGACAATGATTGAAGTAGTTTTTTTTTTTACCAATGAGTCATTGGCCTGCCACCTCCCACCAACACCTCCCACCAACAATAGGTAATTCTGTCTACAAAGGCCAGGGCAGATGAAAAAAATCACCTAGTGTTTTTTTGTCTCTGTTGAGTTTTGAACATGAGACCTCAAGTTCTCACAAGCTTATCTTAGCTAAAGGGGTATATACATATGGTTTGTGGCTGAACAATTATGTGCATATTTGAAGGGAGTAATAGCCTCCTCACATTGCAGCAAGAAATGGGGAAAAAAAAGAGACTACATATTAGCAAATTAAACCTGAATTTAACATAAGGTGCAGACAATCACAAAATGTTCAACCAACCACAAGTTTTTCCTGTTTATTCCAATCGTACATCACCAAAAAAGGGAAGAGAAGAAATGTTCATCCCAAGTTCATGGAATAAAGACAGGACATCTAAGTTTTCACCAAGTTAAGTGCAACCTAGAGTCTGCCACCCCTAAGTGCAAGAACAAGGTGAAGAACAGAACCACCTTCGATATTGTAGTCTTTAGCTGTCTTGTCATCTGCTAGCTGTTTTCCAGCGTATATAAGCCTGCATTAAACCAAAAGTACAAAGTGTAAATCCACTGTCTCAAACTGCCAAAAACAAATAACAAACTATGAACACAACTTCTATCACATAGGGTAAAGATAAACTGGGTAGGTAGTTCACAAAAATAGATATATCAACAAGTTCAATATCTCCGAGCCACTGTTCACCTTCTGCCCATAAGATGAAGGTGATATCCTACAACATCTCAATTAGTACACCATGGATTTCCATAAACTAAGAAATGGTATTCCAGTAAAAGCCATATCCTGATGTGCTATAGTAATATAATGATCATGACAGACAACAAAAAAGTCTGTCAAAATGGTTAATGAAGAGAAATATAATGTTTTCATATTTTCTATTATCTCAATCGGATGAGATACAAACACAAACAGACTGAGCACTCATATAGTTCTGTTTTTTTGGCATTCACTGTCACTGATAAGGAAGGGAAGAAGCAAACTTGTCCAAATTATTATAACAAACTGCATGTTCGTTATATCTGTCTACTTGCAAGAAAATCCTTTTACGAAGCCAAGACTAAGCGAAATATCTCTCAAAAGGAGAGATAGAATTGAATGTCTCCAGGGCTTCGGTCTAGTGGTAAGAGTGCAATATGTGATGTGGGTATGTTGGTAAGGTGCACATCTTGGGTTCGAATTCTGCTGAAGACAAAAACCTTGTGTTTAAGAAGGGCAGAGGGGCAGAACATTGTTGATAGAGTTTCGAATCATTAACCACCCCAAGAATTTCATAATTATCCAAAAAAATAATAATAAAATTTTACACCAAACTTAGAAAAACAAACACCAGGATGCCCACCATTTTTCTGGCAATGCTAGCAGGCAGGTATGAAATTAGGCTGATAAAATTTGGCTAATGAGAGCAGATGCAGATTACAAGATCTGTAAGACCTGCTGATTTTTCTAGACAATGTATTAAGCAGAATTGCAGATGCAAGACCTGTTAGACCCGCCCACTATTTACAACGCTCTTAAGCTTACAGCACTACTAGTTTTTTTTAGAACTACCTGACATATTTCAAGTCATTAAGTCTTTAATTTTATGCTGTCAAGTAAGCCACACAAAAGTTCAATTGTATGATCCAAAACCTAGGGTATGCCCCAAAATGCACATGAGGATTTCACATTCCCTCTATCCTTAAAATACACTGCATTTAAGCAAATCATATGAGACATTCAATTGTCACAGTATGGTCCACGGATGATTACAATTATGGAATCGGGTATAGTAGAGCATTGAATAATAGAAGACATTTTAAGTCCTAAAAAAGTACAGTTATTACGGGAATGCTAGAAATACCAGGGAACAGAAACATGACAACCTGCACAGATTTAAAGGGAATTCCAAAGAAGATTCATAAGCCAGGCACACAGCATCACACATACAACATCACTGATCTTTTGGTCTCATAGTGTGGGGGAGAGGAAGCAGTATGGCATGGGAAAGAGGAGAAAACACAAACACTGAAAACCACAAATCTAGTGTATGCAATTTGAATGAAATAAAGGAAATACAAACCTTTGCTGCACAGGAGGTATTCCTTCTTTCTCCTCAACACGCTCCTTAATACGATCAATGGTGTCAGTGGGTTCAATGTCGATCTCAATTTCCTTTCCAGTGAGAGTCTTCACCTTGATCATGGTTCCTCCCCTGAGCCTCAGAACAAGATGAAGAGTTGATTCTTTCTGAATGTTGTAATCAGCCAGGGTTCGACCATCTTCCAATTGTTTCCCAGCAAAAATCAGTCTCTGCTGATCAGGAGGTATGCCTTCTTTATCCTGGTAAGCAACACATCAGCTCTACGTGAAATGAGAAGAACAGAAGATTGACTGTTACATGTTAGCACTAACGCCAACAGTTAACAAATACTACAGAAGAGAAGTGGACAAACCCAGGATAGGTCAGTGCAGAGATAGCAGAAGAAGGGGGGGAAACTGAACAGAAGGCAACACTTGACCATACAACATGCAGCAAATCACATATTTTAGGCAATTAGAAGTTAATGTATGTACAGTTGTAATTCAAAGACCATAGCTTTGACAGTATTATGAGGTTTTCCTTGTGTGTTATGGCGGGCTCTTACATTTCGTGGGTTGGTCATATTTTGGCAATGCATATCTTACAATATTAAGGTTGACTTCAAATAAACTAGTTAGGAAGTAAAAACCTTAGCATAGGCCTGAGCTGTATTTGATCGAGTTCCTCTAGCCTCAGAAATAGGAAAACCCATGGTTTAGGGAGCATAGATCTCTAGCATCTGGGACAGACTTTACCCATTTCCTTCCGTAATGAAAGGCTCCATCCAAACTAAAAGAACTGAAAGAGAAAATTTGGGACCTACTTGACAAGGGGTTCACTATACCTAGTGTCTAAACAAGATAAAAAGCTTCAAAACAAGCTCCAAACAGGTGAATATCTTGTAACAGTGGCCTAAGGGATATCATAAAGAGTGTGATAGCACCATCAATCGTCTTCACATGATGTACATTCACTCCAATAACATCTCGAGGAAGATTAGAAAGGGCCAGCAAGAAGTGAAGATAACCTTCGAAAGTGAAACAGGGACTTAACGTGGACCATCCAAGGTGATAAATGCTCCAGAACAAATATTTATCAAAAAGAGAAGAACAAACAGTAGAATAGTTAAACTTAAGCTACCATCAATCACACACAAGACTACATTCTGGTGCTAACACATCATTGCATGCTTCTGTCTGTTTTCTATCAAATATTGCTGAAAGTATGCAATCAAAATCTGGTGTGTTTGCCTCCAAGGCCTAGCTCAAGTGGCAAAAGGTGGAGGATTTGTGACTTAGGTCGCAGGTTCAAGACCCACACCATGCAAAGCAAAGCCTGGTATTTAAGTGGAGAAGGGTAGAGGGGCGGGCCCATTATCCACCGAGTTTAGAAGGCTGTGATTGGTCCAAAGGGCGGGTCACATACGGATTTCTCGGTTATCAAAAAAAAATAAAAAAATCTGGTGTGTTTACATTCAGGACATTCGTATAATTCAATATATTTAACCACCTGTAAAGAGGCATAGGAAAGTTCTTTTTTTTTCAAAAGAAAAGACAAAAGTGAGTTAAAGGTGATGCAGGTAGCTTTAGAGAGTTTATCATTCATAAGTTGGACATCAATTTGAAGTGCATATCCCATTTATGCACAACAAGGACAATCCAGACTAAGTGCATTGTATGTGCCAATAAAAGCCTGTATCTATTGAGGCTCCAAAAGACAAGCTTTCTGGTACTGTATTTGACAGACCATCCGTATCTAATGGAATAAAGCTTATGAGGAACAAATTCAGTTTCCATCAGCAGGCAATGGAAAGATCAACACTTGCAAAATAAAAATAACATGTAACATTAACAAAATAGCATTTTTGCTTCTCAAAAAAACAAAACTAATTAGCATCTTTTAATTATCATGACTACCACTTTCCTTCACTAGACTTAGAGCCGGGTGCAACTATATAAATCTTTTTCAATTATATAGTTTAGTATCTTTATTGTTTTACAAAGTACTACAAACAAATGTGTCATTTAAAACTCAGGTTTCTGTAATAAAAAATTTGGGTCTCTTCTAAATTAAAATAGGTTCCTCATTGCCGGAGTTAGATTTTTTAATTTATGAATTCAGAATTACAAAAATTATTTTTACTTTCTGAATTTTGAATAGATTATTTATCCTGTTACTTTTATCAAAAAAAAAAAAGAAGATTATTTATCTATATCAAAAGAAATATTTAACACACATATAAAGTTTGAGCTAAAGTTACTAAATTTTACCGAATCCATAACTTCCACGAAGACTCAGCCCGTGAGAACCCCGGGTCATTCTTTTTCCTGATATAATACAAAATATTTTTCCCAATAGGATGAAAGAGGTTTTGTTCAAACTTCATACAGATGGCAAGGGCATTTTAGGACCAAACTATTAATCGATGACATTTTTGTTCAATTTCACATAGTTTTAGGACATCTTTTACCCTTTTTCGTAAAAATAAGACATAGATAAAGGTTATGATACATCCTTCACCCACAAAAAGTTAGTCCAAGGGGCTATGTATTACCAAAAAGGGTTTGAAAGTATCTTGTTTTATTGGAAACATACTTAAGTATATGAAATACTCCATCAATTTCAATGTTACTCCCACTACATGTATAAGGTAACCTTGTCCACCACATCTAGGATAAATGAGACTAAATCAGCTAGTGCTTAGAGCCGGTGCAACTATATTTTTTTATATGACTAATTCCAACGAGATACCTGTCACCTCAAACCCTCAACATGTATCAGGTAAATATGTCCACCAAATCTACAACAGATGGTACAAAATCAGCAAGTGTTTAGAGTTGGTGCAACTAGATAAAAATTTTTAATGACTAATTCCAACGGAATACCTGCCTCACTCCCACAACACTCACTCGCACAACATGTATTAGGTGACTCTGTCCACCAAATCTAGGATGGATGAGACGAAATCAGCTAGTGTATATCCGGAAAACTAGTGTATTAAATAAATGTCATTAATGCCAGTATTTTTTAACGGAAAACATATCTGGTTTTAACATATGCTTTGTACTTGAGGCCAACTATGATGCGTCCACATCATTAATTAAATCAGTGAAAAAAGCAAAAAATCCATCTAAATTAAGTAAAACCAAATTAAACCCACCCACCCACATCCCTTTTAACCCAAAACAAGCCATTGAGACGTGATACCTGTCACCTCACACCCGCAACAAGTATCAGTGCCTAACTATGTCCACCAAAGTTAGTACATATAGAACAAAATCAACTATTGAGATCACGAATTGACAAACACAAACACGTTGAGCAATTATACGTATCATATCAATCTCCACACACATAACAAGATGCAAAACCCTAATTTATGAAAACAACAGCACAAAATTGTGAAGAATGAAAATAGTACCTGAATTTTGGCCTTGACATTGTCAATGGTATCGCTGCTCTCAACTTCGAGGGTGATGGTCTTTCCGGTTAGGGTTTTCACAAAGATCTGCATGATTGATTGATTGATCGATCGATCGATCGATTTGGCTCCTACAGAAACAGCTCGTTCCCTTTACGCTAAGTTTATTAAGCACAAAAATTCGGATGAAATAATAAGGAAAAAGAATTGGAACCCTATTTATTTGTTCTATTCTATTGGCCCTAAAAACAAACAAATTTCTGACCCCATCAAATATATTCCTTTCTTTTATAACCCACCTTTTTTTATTCTAATAGGACACAAACAACAAATATATGGTAAAAAGGTTTTTTATCACGACTAAATTTCAGAAATAGCAAATATAAATACATAATAAATATAATAAGTTTTTATAGTTATAGTTTTGCTAATTGCTCTATGATTAGATTGACAATTTTGCTTAATTGATACTAATCTCTCTATATATACTAATATGAACAAATATACAAAATAAAAAAATAAAAAATTTATTACATATATACAAAAAGGGATAATTATACAATTGTAAAATATACAAACTACGGTTTATACAAATACCTGAGCTTCTTCAGAAAATTTGAGATGAAAATTTATGAAATATCGTGAAAAATTGTAATATATACAATAAACAAAAAAAAATGATTTACACACATTCTGGCGGTTACCTGAAAATGTGATGCCACAATCGAGAGGGGAATCGTGCATATTCAAAATTCAAACTGATATGGGTGAGGGATTTTAGACGAAATCGTAGTGAATAGGGAGACGAGATATGTGACGTGATTTGTATAAAAAGGTTAGATAGATATACATTCTATTTTGATTTATATTTTGATACAAATCTATGTGGGTCCCGGTTCTATAGTAAGAATTAGGGAAATTATAGTCACGAATTACAATTTTCTTAAATTATAGTTATAATACTTAATATAGTCTAAAGATTTGCTATTATGTGTAATTTTCCCCTTTATTATTGACTATACAAAACACATTATTTTTTACATCTTAGAAATTTTTTCTAAAAATGTTTTAATATATAAATATGTTATTTACCTTGACTTTAACTGATATGTATGTCGTGTTGAACTTTACGATGTCACATAGAATTTGTGTCTACTTATGCACATTCAAAACTGAAAGGTATAGATACATTACTAGCTTATTCATGTATCTGGTTCGGTAGTAGTATAGAGCATGCGTCAAGTGTAGTATTAATGTAGTTTTGGCTTTTGATATTTGATATAATATATAATTTGTGGTTTACTATGTTTAGGTGACCGCACTTTGTTGTTGTTGCGACAGTTCTTTGCATATATGCACTACACTGTTTTGATATTAATTGTCATATTACTCCCCACTATCTTTTTTTCATTTTATTACTACTATGATTTGTTCGAGCCAAAGATATTTCGAAAACAACCTCTTTATCTCAATGAGAAAGGGATGAGTGGCCTCCTTACATAAACTCGAGCAATCACTCCCTCGAGAGCTAGTTTTTGGGATTAAATCAGACCCAAAATTAATTTATTTACTGTTGTTGCGCTTAAAAATGGTCATATGTTGGATGGTATCATGTGGCTCACTTGTAATAATAACTATAAAGCAAACCATTTATTTTGAATGTTCTCTAATTCTGGATGTCAAAAGTACTAATTCTCACTTGACATACGTAGAAATTCATATATGAAGCTTGAAGGAAACAACACATTGACAACAATACTTTTGTTTCATTTCTGAAGCAAACAACACATTGACAATACTGCTGATATTCATTTCACTGTAAATGAGTTACAAACATGTTAAAGGGTGTGTGTAGGCGCGCATGAGAGTGAGAGAGAGAACCTGTTGGCGGAAAAAGAAGGAAATCTACTCGGAAATTCATTCAATTTGTGGTTATCTGCTAATCCCACTGCTTTCAGATGTAGTACGATGAAATAGAACGAAAAAGAGAGCAATAATATAAAGAATGCGTCCATGAAAAAGTGAATGTAACTTGACATCAATCGTTCATCAGCTAGAGCATACTCTGCGTTCCCTAAGCACATTTCTGCGGTGAGGAGGATCTCTTAGTGCTGGTTCTGTTTTTGAAGTGTTTGTACCAAAGATGAACCACAACTCTGAAAATTTCACATGCCTTTGGGTCAGCTTTAGACACATGCAGAGACAATGAGACCCGAAACAAAATGTCACTGTAAGTATATAACACATACCTGTGTTTACTCTATTTCTTTCACCGAGCACTACGGTTAAGCAAACCTTGGAATGACAGATAAAGATCATTGTTCTCCGTTCCGAAAATCTCTTCTGATTTTTTCAAAGTATCCTAAATTTATAATGGCGAAAAGGAATAGGAGAAAACGTTCAGTTACTAGTAGACAAATAGAAGGAACTCATAGAATGTTAACGCAACTAATAATGCTCATCACCTCACGAGACTGCTTTTGTGCATTTAATTCCTTAATGTTAGTCAGAAAGGCACTGAACTGCTCATAGGATAGACGACTCCTACATCAACAACATGTGATACTGTCAGGTGAAAGATCCTTCCTTACTAAAAATAAATTGAAGAGAAAGAAAGTAGTTTAGCTATCCACCTAGCTTGTCGGAAGAACTCCTTCCCATCAATTCGAGGAGTTTGACCTAGTAATTCATATTAAGGAAAGCAGATTAGAGGATCACACATAAACCAGTCAGTAACATGATTTTTTAAAAACGATCTCAAGCAAGAATGCCTTTGCAAATGTGCAACACCATAAGTGCAATACAGCAGATAAAAGTAATATTTGCAAAGCTCACAAAAAGAAAATTGAAAAGTTAGTTCTTAGGAACCTGGCAATGGGCGTGACTTAGGAGGGGAGTTAGCTGCTGATGACTGTTGACTTGATGGGAAAAAAGATGACATCGAACCTCGTCCCTCGTATTGAGAGTTTGTTGGAGAGTTGGCGCCAGACATCCTCTGAGGAGATCCAGCAACAGAATATCTTCTAGGAGATACACTAGTGGAGATTATTTTGGGAGTCCCAGTTGGAGTAAGACGCGGTGTTATGTAAGGTGACATGGAATATCTTTGCAAAGCTCGCTTTGAGGCTGGATCCAAGAAAATGGAACAAAGTTAATTTCTTTTGCTACATTATGATATTATAAGCAGAAAACATAATGTTCAAATACCATCATCATTAATTACTGTGCTGTCCATAGAACCACTGAAAGAATGGTGTACTGCATAGCTGTTCACCTCCTCTGCAGGATATAATTATCAAAACCAAATTTAAAACGTCAAAGATAGAACACCATATCTTGAAGCAGCCAAAAGTGACATAAAATCTTGAACATGACAAATGAACACATAAGAGGAAATACATATAAATCCAAGCCAAGACATACCCTTTACGGAATAGGCCTTATGGGTAGATTGGTCGTAAGTGCCAATATCAACAGTTTCAGCTTGCTGAAGATGCAGAAACAAGTTTGACAGTTTAGTCTAGCAGAAACACAGGATAGAAAAAGAAAATGGTCTTGCTCTAAGGCTACTAAAAAGAAGAAATTTGACTAGCGCAAATATCTGAATTCCAATATCATTACCAAAAAAAAACTTTTAGGAAGTTTAAGTAGGCATTTGAACATGAATTTGAAGATATTTGAAAAAAAAATTAGTATTTGAACTTAAGTTGAAAAAAGGGTATATGGAAGTTGGAGTAGTGTTTGGATATGCATTTAACTTGAAAAAATGTTGAGGTTTTGTGCGGGAAAAAGATTTACTACCACTTTTCAAACTTGAAAGACTCAACTTGAAGTTGGAGTGAAAAATTGACAACAATGTATGACCAAACAGTTGTATTAAAAAGGAAAGAATTGAATGTCCAATGGGCCCTAAGTTACTCTCTACATGATTTTCCTAAAATGACATGTGAAGAGATCAAGATTCTGAAATCTTACCGCTGAATTATCATCACTAAGAGACTGCACCAATTGCCTTTTAAAAGTCTCCAACTGTCAAAATAAAGAAAGCAAGTTTATGCTACTGCAACAATAGTAAGCAATAAATGACATAGCAGAGGCAGAAGCTATAACTAAGATTTCAATCAAACAATCAGAGGCATGGGAACCACTATGTCAGGTTGAGGATATATTGATAAATCTCTTTCTCCTATAATGCTCTAACTCTGTCATCGAATGCGGCTCCTAATGAAGAAGTAAGAAAATTGAAAGGTGAGACTGCTTTCTCATCACAAGATAGAGATATGGAAGTTGACGGATCTGGCTTCTCTGAGAAAGAGCATAATGTACCTGAATCACTTATCTCTAAGGTGGAAAATTATCACTATATAAGCCAATTTGGGCCCACTTCTCAGTCTAATGTGATTGATGATTTATAGAACAATGACCAAAATCTTGGCTAAAAGTTAATTGCCTCTGTGATTAACAGTTCAAAACCTCCCACCAATGTAGCTTCATACATAGCAGCAGTGCTATAGATAACCATATTTTTGGTCCAATAGTTGATTCACGGGATAGGAAAATCTAAGGATGATGGTATGACTATCACAGCCTTGAAAATGGGCCAATGGCCTAAGCTTTAAAGATACATTGCATTGGGTTGCCTTCCCAAATAACTTCATTACTTTTATCATGCACTGTGTATCTGTATCTTTCCTTGCTATTCATTACAACAGGGATCTCAGTGTCTCACTGACCAAAAAGAGTTAGACATTCATTCCTTTTTTTGTCTTGCACTTTGGAACGGATATCTTTATTGATTCATAAAGAAAAGAATATGTCATCAGGGAGCCTGTGACTGGTAATATGGTTAAGTTCTTGTTTCTCATTACTTTACTGCTAATATTTGTTAGACATACAAGCGGTTCAACGTTCGTTGTGAAAAGGTTTATAGTTACTTGAACTACTCCACTCATAACCTTAAGATTTGGATTGGAAACTCAAATTCTTTACATGGCATTAAAAGGCAAACATTGTAAATTCACTTTCACAACAGCTTTGTCTCTACCTGTTGTATCATTCTGGACTCTCTCTCTGAATTTAGTCCATTGAGCCATAGTTTTGCTCAAAAGACCCATTCCTGTTTATCCTGCTGAGCCTTCTCTCTCAACTACAAATCTACTCTTCCAATTGTAGAACCTATTCTCTATGCTCCAGGCATGCTTCTTAACATGCTGAGCCTTCTCTCATAACCCCTGGATTGCCCACTCTTCATATTGTCGAGCCTATGCTCTAAGCTCAAGACCCAAACCTCTTGAGCCACTTTGGATTTATCAAATGATCTAAGGGACTTCAAACTGCAATCAATTAAGTTGAACTAGATGTGCCAAATCTTAATTTCATCAGATAACCAAGTAAAAATAACTTAAGGGGACCCTTCGGGGTGGCCCAGTGGTTTGGGCTTGGGACTTCCATGTTGGAGGTCTCAAGTTCGAAACCCCTTGCCAGCGAAAGCAAGGGGTTTGCTTCTGGGTCGAGCTCGTCGCACCGGGCTTGCCTAGTGCGGGTTACCTCTCCTATGTGGTTTGCCAGCTATTGCATAGGAGCGGGGGTTTTACCCTGTGCGCACCCTTGCCTAGTGCGGGTCCTGCTGAGCCTTCTCTCTCAACTACAAATCTACTCTTCCAATTGTAGAACCTATTCTCTATGCTCCAGGCATGCTTCTTAACATGCTGAGCCTTCTCTCATAACCCCTGGATTGCCCACTCTTCATATTGTCGAGCCTATGCTCTAAGCTCAAGACCCAAACCTCTTGAGCCACTTTGGATTTATCAAATGATCTAAGGGACTTCAAACTGCAATCAATTAAGTTGAACTAGATGTGCCAAATCTTAATTTCATCAGATAACCAAGTAAAAATAACTTAAGGGGACCCTTCGGGGTGGCCCAGTGGTTTGGGCTTGGGACTTCCATGTTGGAGGTCTCAAGTTCGAAACCCCTTGCCAGCGAAAGCAAGGGGTTTGCTTCTGGGTCGAGCTCGTCGCACCGGGCTTGCCTAGTGCGGGTTACCTCTCCTATGTGGTTTGCCAGCTATTGCATAGGAGCGGGGGTTTTACCCTGTGCGCACCCAAAGGGTAGCGGCTGCGGGTTTCCCTTGTTATCAAAAAAAAAAAAAAACTTAAGGGGCACTACAGCATAGAAAATTAATCTAGTAGTATCCAGTGACCAGAGGTTTCATAGTCATCTACTTGAAAATCAAATACATATTCCAAGTAAGGATACAGATCCCCTCAAGAAACAATCGTCTCTTTTTACCTACTTACATGATAGTCTTTACATTTTAGGACATCCCAAAATGTTTGAAAACATTCATATAATAGTAGTGTAATTTGTAACTTTCACAAAGAACTCAAATTTATTTAAGTATTCAAACTTCAAATCTTGATGTGGTGATATTTCAATCAAACCAGCTTTTCACATATTACTACAAGATTCTCTTCACTATCACTAATATAATATAAACACCAAATTAACATGTTAAGCTCAATATACGGTGTTAGACTGTATATTGAGCTTAAAATGTTAATTTGACGTATATCTTACATTACTATAAAATGGGACAGAGGGGGTGCCAAGCAGTAGCTTTAACCCAAGACTAATTAAAGCATAAACCTCTAACAAATTCCAATAACCTGCAGGAATTCAACAACAAAAGCTTAAAAGAGATAACTAGTTTATCACCTTTGCTAAATCTCGACCCATTTTCTTTACTGTCATAGCCAATGAATCCCTCTCCTTCGTTAGCTTCATCTGTCATTTTTTTCAAAAAAGATAGATTAAGGCCTTTCCATTCCAAACAAATGCAAGCGTTAAAAATGAAAAGACAAGCAAATACAAGCAGTACATTATCTTCACAAGTAAATTGCAACCGCAATTCATTTTCATGACAAGCCTTCTCGAGCTGAGAGACCTTGTCCTGGAGCTCCACAATGACCCGATCCTTGTCGCTAAGCTTCTGACGAAGTCTCCCCGTCTCTGACTCAAGTTTGGTAACACGAGAGGCTATAGCCATGGAAGTAATCTTCCTAGCAAGATCCAACTGGTCGTAAGGGTCCGTCGGAATGACCGAGAGTATTTCATCGGAAAGATGAAAGTCCGGCCCGGTACTCCGGCTACTATCGCTGCTGCTGTTCAGAGACATCTCCGAATTCCCAAAAACCCTAACGCCCAATGATGGAAATTTGGAAAAAAAAATGGATTACGGAGAATACAATGGAGAGTTTGAACAGAAGAAATGAGGTAATTAATGAGTTAATTAGGAATTAATTCAATTAATTTTGATTCCGTTTTGACTTATGTTTTTGAATTTAAAAAATGATTAATTAAATTAAAGAACAAATGGGACATGCTTTACGGTGGTTTGTCTCATTTCTGGGTTTGAATTTATTATTTGTTTTCCCTCCAAAGCTTAATTGTCCTTTTCGGTTTAGTCTGCTTTGGGCCTATGGGCCCTAATTTAAACCCGCTAACCACTGTACTTCAGAATTGATTATTTACCTATCAATCTCTCCTCTCTTGCTTCCTCGCCTCTCTCCCTTTCTCGTCCCTCTGTATTTGTATTTGTGTAGTCAGTATCAATTATCTAATGAATTCTGTCTATTTCATGTATACAATAACAAATATGCATTGATATATCCAGTATATATAGATGCATAGTTATATATTGATTCTGATGGAACATTGATATATCTAGTGTATTTGTGATGTATCTAAAGTATTTTGTGCATAAATACATCTATCTAATATCAAAGATAGATACATACTTAGAAAAGAAAAGGAAGATATAATTGTCCAAATACGTGTATATATGCATAAATACATGTATATCAACTATAATTTGGAATCAATTTTAACTTGTTGATTGACATTACTTTTAATCTCAAACCCCACTTTGTGAGATTATATTGAATATATTGTTGTAGTAAGTCAATGCAATTATCCTATTGAACGTGGACAAATAATTAAATACCATGCCCGGTAGTTTAAAATCTAAACTTTATATGTCATGGGGAACCATTATTCTCATCGCTTGGGCTAACAGCTCATTCCATTTATGGTAGCAAAATGTTAATCATCAAATTACCCAATTGACCAGTATAATTAAACCCCAAATTCAGTTGATGGCAATCATTTATCTACTAAAATGATTTAAGAAGTATCCAAGAACAAAGATAAAATGGAGTAGGAGTTCTATTTTGAAACAGGTATTTTAAGAAATAAAAAAAACATATTAGGAATGATGGTAAAGTATTTAATCAAATTAAAAGTGCTGATACGAGAAAAGGTTTACAGTTTAGCTATCATTTTCTGATGTTTCTCTTCCCACTTTTTCAACTAATATGTTTACTGTCGTTGGAAGATATCTGAGGCACAGCAATGCAATTAACCAAAATAATGTGAATTTGGACATCAGTATACAATCATTAAAAGCATTCACATTCATACGTTCAAATGAAGCAATCAAGTGAGGTGCAGGGTGTCCTAATGGACTCCTTTCTCCAGCAGAATTAAGATTACAAAGCTCATCCGTTAAGGAGCGTCCATGTCGCGGATTCCTTGCAAGAGCAACAAACCTAGGGCTTGCGAGGCGGCGAACTGCTGCTGTTACTGTTGCTAGGGCTCCTCCCTCTTAAAGGCCTGCAATTTTATGAAGCACCAGCATATTATAACCAGTAACATAATATCAACAAACATAATTATCAGTCGTTTCTATAGTCAGATTACAAAACCATCTGCAAAGTGTCTTGTAGCTCTGGAGCTTAGCTTTCTCCAAATGTAAGGAAAAAACCACCATATGAATAACTAACTAAAGCAAGAATCCAAAACAATAGCAAGAGAATACACGGAACTCACCTTCTCTTAGGACTGCGACTCTTTGAAATCTTGCGGGGTCCCTAAAACAATAAGCAAATTATATCCACATCAAACATAATTGTTGACCCAAGGGAAAAAACAAACAATCTAACAGGTAAGTTAGTTAAATTAGAGACCCAACCAAACACAGACCTTGCGAGGACTGGGAGAAGAAGAGTAGGATGATGACCTCCCACGTCTTGCAGCTGGACCCTTTCCCCTATACATGAAGCATTCACAAATAAGTTTTGCTTGTTCATATAAACAAGAAATGACATTCTTTCAGAAATTTAATAGCGTTATGTTCTTGATAATATGGTCATACAGATTAAATACACCCAAGAGAAAGAAACCAGGCATCTGAACATGCAATGTAAGAAGTGCCCAAAAGTATGCAAGTATAAAATGAGTAAGAGAGGCACAAAAGGAAACCTACAGACCCCACGTAATAGCAACAGACCCAGTTATTCAAAGACAGGACACAAAATTTGCTGTAATTAGACACTAGACATTTTAGTGATAAAGATGATACAAATTTATGCATTACCGCCTAGGAGAGATGGATCTTGATCGTGACCGGATAGGCCTTCTAATAGGAGAACGGCTAGACCGACGACCAATCGGAGATCTTCTGGGTGGACTTCTAGCACGTCGTGGAGAACTACAAACAAAGACAAGGAGACAAAGATACCATGAACTAACACTGTCAATTATAAATGTACATTAGCTAACACAACCAAGCCGTGTTTAAATAGTTCAGGCTACAGTTGACAATATTTTTAACATAAGAAGTACTGCAACTACTAACAAGAAAAACAATTGCCACCCATCATAGACAACAGTATTTCAACAGAAACTGATGGTATAAATCAAGTATTATATATATTTATCACACATACCTAAGCCACCAGACAGGTTTAACAATTAAAAGAACCTCTTTGAAGTATGTAACATCAGGTTTATCCCCACAGGTGCAAATCACCATGAAGGGACTTTATATTTATGGAGCACAGGAGAAGATATTTTCATCATTTACTTCAACTATTCAAGTTTATGAAATCAAAATGCCAACTCACCGTCGCCTTGGTGGAAGGGGAGAACGTCTTCGTACAGGACTGCCACGAATTCTTCTGGGAGAGCCCCTGCTGAAGATTTTACTCAGTAAAGGTACACATCAAAATTCCAAGATTTCAAGAGGAAATGTGAAATACCCAACCTAGGAGGTGTCCGATGACGTCTTAGTGGAGGTGATGGTGAACGGCGTCTCATGGGAGATGCAGGCCTCCTCCTTTGGGGAGGTGGACTGCCGCGCCTAAAAGGAGAATTTGCTCGACGGCGAACTGGAGAATCTGGCCCACGTCTAGGAGATCCTCTTCGTCCTATAGGAGACCTCCGAGGTGGAGAGGCAGGTTTTCGACGAGGAGATGCTGAATTTATCAAAGTACACCAGATTAAACAACGCATCATACAGACAATGAACAATTCCTAATATAACAGGATATCATACAGTCTTGTTGCCGTTTTGGTCCATCTTTCTCCACATCAACAGGGGCATTATCAGTTCTTGGAGCATCTCTTCTTGAGGAAGTTGCAACAGCCCTTGGAGGTGAGGCAGCCTTCTTTCGTTCAGGCAGGGTAAACCTGGCATGAACTACTTTCCCATCAATCTGTGCCTGCATTAACACCAACAGAACATTTTAGTTAGTCCCCCATTTCAAAAATAAAAATGATTGGATGCAATCACCAAGAGAATGTATAAATCTTAAAACCATACACCATCCATGTGTAGTTGGGCTTTCTCAGCATCAATTCTAGTCTTGAACTCAACATAAGCAAACCCTTTGGGAAGATTAACCTGCAACAAATGAATTCTTATATTAGAAAGAAAGTAAGGGGGGGAGATCACATAAGCTGTACACCGTCTAAAGATATGGCACTTGTTAACTTACAACATGATCAATGGCCAACTGCACATGCAGAATTTCACCAAAATTACCTGAAAAAAGGATAAGCTAGTTTTTAGACAGTTTAGGATGTGAATTTTGCAATTATTTGTCTACTTTATGTATATGCAGGTGTTGCTAATTCAAGTTTAAATGTGATTATTAGAAAAGGCCAACAGGAATGCTAAAGGGACGAAAAGACCACAAAAATGTGCAATGCAGTTCAACTGCGAAGCTGCGCAACCACGCAACCTGAAGCTACTGGCACGCAGCAAAGATGAAAGGCTTGAAATCCACTGGTCCTCTGCGTGCGCTAATGAGCCCAGCTGGGCGCCCGCACAGCATAGGCATGCAGATCACCAAATCAAAAGGCAATTCCGGGATTTTGCATGAGACACTATGCTATATGAGTTTGCAACTTGTCCCAGAGATAGGGCATCAAGAAAAAGACTAGGTTAGGAAGGAGAGAAGGAAAACACGGTACACTACTCAAATCCAAAACAGAAGTTGGGATTAAGAGTGTGGTTGTTATGTCTCTTTGTTCATCCCTGTTCTTAGTAAACTTACTCTACTCCATGGATAGTTTCTTTGAGGGTATTTGACAAACATGATGTATTGATGAATATGTTGGGATTTTAATTTACGTTCTAATGCTTGAACTTGTATGGGAGTTGAACTAAAATCTTATTTATTCGAAAGAGGAATAACTTATGAAAATTGTTGCATATTCTTGTTTGGATTGAATCAATATATCTTTTCTAAGTAATCGAAAGAGCCTGTTGACAATTATCGATTGAATCCTTAAGAATAATCCATAACATGTTCACTAGGGTAAAGTTAGTTTCTTCTTAAACTTGAGATTTACTTGGAAGAGAAATCTAAATCTTATGAATACTCCAATCAACTATCAAATTCGAGAGAATATATAGAACTTTAGATGTGATCAGTGACTTGATCGAATCCTTGCTATCATTTTGCACTTGTTTGGTTTTGTACCCTATCTTCTATTATAGCTATTAAGCATTGTAGTTACCAATTGTTTTAAGTAACAAATAGTCTATAATCATGGTTAATAACCGCAACCAACTCTCTTCTTTTGATCTCCTAAATAATAGTTAGCAAGATTTGATTGAATTATAATTTGTACCAATCCCTGTGGAGACGATCCTCATACTATACTATCTCTGACTAGTGAAGCACTAAATCTATAGTGTGTTTGTACTCATCAATTAACTCGCAATAACAGGGTTAGACTAGAACGTATGACATATAACTGGCTAGGTAAACAGAATGAATAGCATCAATAAGCAAAAGCTTGGACCATTTCTATTCTTCGGTTTTAGACTCTTCACTTGGTGCGTACCAAATACCAAACCGAATTTCAGTTGAGTTAGGTTCTTCTGTATGGACCTGATATAATGGGCTATTTACCCTGGACGGGTTGTTGGGTTATCAGTTGACATTTACAACCCTAGCTAAGAGTAAAATTTCTACAATTCTGGCAAATAAACTTCAGTGATCAAAAAGAAGTGCTGAACATACCAAATATTTCTTTCAAATGGTTTTCATTGACATTCCTGCTGAGCTGATCCACATGAATCACACGTGACTCAGGTATAGGAGATACTTTCCTGCAATCAGATCCCAAGTGTTACACATCAAAAAGTGCTACATGCAGTAACATTTTTGCATCATCAGAAGATATTGGTGTTAGTAACTATTTTTATCAACTTCATCCAAAATGGATAGGTTTTTTTCCCACTCCCCCAAAATTAATTTTGCAAACAGAAAGACAATCAGATTCCAACAAAAGAAGGTCATGCATTTATTTTCTGACTGTAACATCATTCATCAAATCATCAGACAACGAAGGCAGAAGGGGTGATGCATAGCTGAATGTTTCACCAACAGCACGCATGTCTATGTGAGTACTTGGGATGGAAAGGAACTGAAAGCATTTGAAATCATTTATTGAACAATTGTGGCCAGCTGTAATGCATATTCCAAAAAAAATCTTGATGAATGCAAGTGAGTCCACATTCAAAATGGCTCATAATGTTCCAACCCCCTTGTGTATGAGGAGAAAAACAAAGCCAAGAAAAAGAAAGGTATTCCCCCAAAAAAAACAGAAATTTGGATGTTATTGGAAGAGGTTTTTGTAAGTAGTTATGCATGAATAAACCAAAGTCGGATCTCAGATTAAAAAACAAACAACATTACCTTGGAGGTGGAGAAGCTTTCTTAGACTCTGGTGGTGGTGGCGGCGAGCGGCCTCGCTTAGATACTCCAGCAGGGCTAACAAAACCATATTAACAACAAAAGAAAGGGTTTAGGATCATTCAGCAATAAGAAGACTGGAGAAGAACTTTAGCTATTTTTCCAGATTGAAAACTAATAGAACAGAAACATTTCAAGAAATTTTCATGCTAGTACAACCTGTCTAAGCTCAATAACAAATAAACAAAAAATACATGACGACAAAAAGAGGCCAATTCTTGTTTCCAATTTCTATTCCGGTAGTGCGCCCACCTCGACTATTCCACAAGCAAGTACCTGCTACCTCACCAAGACATGTACCGGGTGACTCTGCCTATTAATGCTTAGATATCTTGCTTAGACAGACGGCAAAAAACAAACAACCTAGCGTCTTTTGTCTCCGATGGATTTGAACCTTGGTCTCCAAGGTTTTCGCCCACTTCGGTGACAACTTGCATGTTGTGACAACTTAAGAAAAGCAGCAGGAAATGCCATAAATTATCAAATATAAACCATCTGCACTTGCAGAAGCGAATAATAGCAGAGAATTAGTTCACATGGCCCAGGAAATAGAGGATACAGCTTAACACTCTTCAAACAGTGGAACAATACGGAACAACTATGAATTACATAGCAAAACTAGCCTCTTGACCTATATAATGTTTGAAATGCAAAACTACAGAATATATATCCATTTTATATCTAACCAGCCAACAATCAGAACTCAGATTCAGTAACAACAAAAGCAACTAGCAATTTTAATGCGACTCCGTGCTACTCTGTGCCCAACTCTACTTCAACCATAACACTTTTCGATGTCATAAACCTTGCGAATCTAACATAATTCAAGCAGCCATATGCACATTAACCAACAGCAGCAACTACTTCACCTCAATTCAAAGAAGTTAAACATATTTGGGCTCATTTCATTCAGTACTCTATAGTTTGTAAGTTAACTCTCCGACATTAGACATTCTGCTAGCATACAAATCTCAAAACAACCAATATCACGTTATAACATGAAAATAAGCGGGAAAAGACTATAAAAATGCATTATGCAACTAATACACATTTGAAAGAGAGTATAAACCTTTTTCGCTGAGAAGGAGGGAGACGACTAGGGCTGCGAGAACTTGCACTGCGGGAAGCAGAGGAAGATGAAGAAATTGATCTGGAGCGGGATCTAGATCGAGAACTTGAGGAGCGAGAGTTTGAAGGAGTGTAAGAGCGAGACCGGGAACGAGAACGAGAAGACGAGCCTGAAGGTGAAACCGCACGGCCTCGACCTGGTTTCGCCATTGGCAACAGCTTACTCCGAAACCCCAGTGATAAACCCTAACAACAGAGAGAGCTGTCGATGGAGTACATTTGGGCAAAAAGGTTATCAGCTTCTAGCCCCGAAAAATAAAATGGGCCGAAGTGGGCTGTATCGTATTCACTACTATTTACGGGTCGTTTGGTAGAGTGTACATTAAAATAGTATATAGTATATCAGTAATGTTCGGATTAATAATGTTTAGATTATATTTTTGTTTATTATTTGATTTGATATACTAAGGGCAATTTTATTTTTAATCATGTTTATTTATGTATTAGTAGTTTTTATATAACTAATATGATAGTTTGCTATTGTTTAATTACACACCCTATAATACTGAACAAGATTTATAACATGGATTAATAAATGGTGTGTAAAACCGAATCGACCGATAAATCGAACCGAGAAAAGTGTTATTGGTTTATTGTTATTGGGTTATTGGGTTAACGGTTTCTTAATAGTTTTATAATAAAAAAAATTATCGGGTTATCGATTCGGTATTGATTTTCAATATTGGGTTATTGGGTAAATCGATAACCCCTTAAGAGTTAAGATTATAGTAATTTACTACTTTTACATATACATACATATTAGTAAATATTAATCTCAATATCTTAATAGTTATGTCTTTGACATTTAGCCATCAATTCACACTTCGTTGTGACTTTGAGTTCAACAACTTTACATCATACAACTCGTCAAAACCTAAAGTAAGAACCATATTCCTCTTGATTTCTCTTTATCTTACACATGCACAGTTCTTTTCGTGTTTGTTATTATTATTTCTATTTTATGAGTTTTTGTAAAGTTACATTATTGTCTTGTCGTGTCAAATTTATTAGAGAAGCCATATATTTGTTTTATAAGCATTTTCTTATTGGTTAAACCGAAAACCGAACTGTTAAGGACCAAAATCGATAAATCGAAAACCAATAAAAAATTATCTTATTGGTTCGTTATTGGTTTAGCGTATTTAAAAACCAAAAACCGATAATACGTAAAATCAAATCGAACCGACCGATGCACTAGATTAATTATGCATAAACTGAAAACCATACTAAATAAAGAATTATTAAATAATAAATGACTAATACATATATATATATATATATATATATATTTCCTAGTACATTCTACCATTTTGATTTTCTAATTCTAGTTTGTACACATTTAGACAAATTATTTATTTGCATTTGGACTAATACCACGAGATACTTGTTATCTTTAATTACATTGCGCATATCTCAATTAATAATTATTAACTATATTCATTAAGATTTGGATAGGTAGAAAGAAATCCCCTGGTATTTTGTGTAGAATTTGAACTCGAAACTTCAAGTAAGATTAACAATACAGTCCAAGTGTTGTATAAAACAAGTAATATAATGTCAAAAGTTTGAGATAGTTGAGAGACATTTCTTGAGGAATGACATCCTAAAAAGGATGTAATTTGAGCTATAGGAAATCATTACTTAATGCCAGCCACTACACAGCAAATTATGGCTCATAACAAAGATCAACACACCAGCCCTTATATATACATTGTCTGAGTTCCTTAATGTGGATTATGACATACAGATATAATCAAAGCAGGGACAGCAACAAGAGACAATGGCTCGAATGATGTTCCTTACTCTGGTTGAGCGAAAATGAACAAGGTCTAACACCACGCGTACTTTTGTCTTATAACAGATGAAGTTGTATAATCAAAGCAGGGGAAGCAAAATATGCACGAATGCTTAGGCTTCTATCAGCGTCGAATCAAAACTCCTTGAAAAAAAGTGCTCCCCACTAAGCAAGATTGAGGAAGGTCTACCATCAAACAAACTTCTCCTCTAACAGATACAGAGCTGTACATGTGTTTTTCTCGTAGAAAAGTTCCAATATCCACTCAAACGTAGAGTTGCTGATAATCGATCATGACAGCTTGTCAATATTGATTGATTGAGTTGGAAGACTCCCAGACTGAATATCAAGCCATTTGCTTGCAATACCTTGAGTGGCCAGATAGTGAAGTACGTCCATCACATCGTTCAAACTATTAATGAACACCTTAACTCAACCAATCTCTGCTCTTTTCAAAGCCTGGAAAGTATGTTGTCCATGTCCAAAAAGACGTATTATCTAAAATGTGACTGGAAACATCATGTCAATGTGACCAAGTGTCCATTTCTTTGAGAAAACTGAACAGAGGCAGCACGGATAATTTCAATGAGATGCTCATCCAATGCATCAAACTCGCTTGAGTTACGTAGATGATGATACATAGGGGATAGATACTCAGCTGCAACTTCAACTAGCTTCCATTGATTGAGGTTAGCAGCCATCTGGATAATTTTTATTGACAAGTACTGACAGGAATCCAAAATGGATACAATCAGTCTAAAACATTTTTCATGCAAGTCTTCTAAGAGCCAAAATTGAGCAAGCGAACATAGTTCTACATAGGGCTCAAGTTCGCGTAGCTTTTCCTCCTTACTCAGATTATCCCATAGACAGCCAGATATTGGTCTAGGCAACTCACCAGAATAGAACCAGCTGACTAACTTAACCAAGGAATCCCAACAAACTGGCACCTTGATGGTCAGTGAATGGCTGAAACAAAACCAAAAAATGTAGTATCAGCTAAACATTAGGGAGAAAAAAGGAGAAAAATATGTAGCAACAGAAATAAACTCCATAATGTAGTTATTTTTCTTTTGGGTAACATTCTACCTTCAGGAAAAAAAAAAACTACTTCTAAACTTGAGAAAACAGAATTGGCTGGCACTTAGTAGAACTAGGTTCAGTAAAAATATCAAACCTAGCATATGCACCAACAGGAGAAAATATTGTCTCAACAATCCATAATCATTTCTAGGCAAAAATTTCTTCAGAGCTACAATCACATACTACACAACCTTTAGCCAAATGATACCTCAGCTGATTCCGCATGTGGTTAATCTGAACATGTACATGGGGGAAATTTTGGACAGAAAAAAGTATGGTCATAAATTGATTTCACACAACCCAAGTCAATATATAGGAAGGAATAATCACTCATAAGCACATAATGTAGGAAAGCAGGGGACTGGGAGGGGCACAAGAGTTGAGAGCTATGGCCATAAATTAACGTAATCTTCTGAGCAACCAGTATACAAAAAAAGATATCTTGAGAGATGTAGAACGCTTGCATTTAAACTGCTAAGAGGTCACAAATTCATATTGATCAAGCTATTAAAGTCTCTGTACAACCATGAAAAATCCTACGTATTAGCAATTCATCCAACTGTGGAGTAAACCAAGTTATAACTATGAATCCACATAATGTTAAAGCAACCTATTTGGAATACCTTTCTTGCATTCCTGACTGGAATAGAGCCCGTAAGTATTCACAACTTGGCCACAGTATAACTTTGTGAACATGCAGGTGTAAAACAGATATGGAGCACGAACTGCAGTCCTGATTACTTGGTCCCGAAGTTTCAGCCTCCAAAATAATGTCCCTGATTTGCAAGCGGAAAAGGGCAAAAATTGTCATATCTTAGTCTATACAAAAAGCATAAATTAAGATACAAAACACATATTACTAGAAGTTATAACACCTTCAGGTGTCTCTACATAGCTAACACAGTAGAGAAGTCAAAGAAAATTCCAACAGCTCATATCATGAAGTGTTTAGTATTTATCTATAAACATACTTCACACATCAAGGATAGATTCAAATGTTATCCATTAATGAAGTCTACAGGCTGTTGGCCAGTGATCAGCCTCATGCTAAATAAACTATTATATCTAGATAAAGCTAAAGCAACTCCGTACATCCACCACAACATAAAAATGAGTTCTGGAAGAGAATTTAAGCCAAAAAGACACAAATGAAGTCTCTAAGTCTAACACGACATACAAATACCCAAAATGAATAGTGAAAAAAGGATTCATACGAAAAATTACGTCCAGCTGGCTCAAGAGCAGAGGTAAAATCAAAGCTTGGGAATGGAGTTCCCCATTTCAGATTGCTTCCACAAAGCAATTGTACTAGAGATTGCAAATTGCAATGTTTGGCTAAAATTTTCAACTTCTTCACAAGGTCTTCTCCTGCTTCAAAGGATCCTGAATAAATATACTCTAATAACTTTGTCAGTGACTGGCAATCAACATGAGCAGAGAGGCGAACTTTGGTGATTAACCTATTGCATGAATCTGAATCCTGCTTATAAGAAGAATCAAATGTTTTCTCCTTAAGCAATTCTTCAGGAGGTAACAGTGATGGGCATCTAACCAGAAGAATAACACCATGGACACGCACAGGTTCCTGATTTTTAATTATAAGTTCCACATCAGAATGCTCATTGTCAGTAAGGAGTTCCCGAAATTCTCTCCCAAACTTACTTGGAAACCCATATAATCCAAGATGGCGAAGAATATAAGCAGCGTACCATCGTGGTCCGGAGTAAGAATTGTTTATGCAGATCTCCTGGAGATCTCTTATAAAAGCAGCTCGCAATTCCATCTGATTCTGAAAGATGCCACAGCGATCTTCCGCATTTATCAATTCAGCAAGAGCCACAAGTCCAAAAAGTAAAAGCATATCTTCACCTTCCCAATCTTCTGAAGAAGGCCAGCAACAAGTCCTTCCACTGAAATGGCTTTGCACATGAGGAGCCACACTAGATCTATTTAGGTGGACAGGATTGTCAAACCACCAACTAATGAAGCTCGACAGAATGTTTATTCCTCCATGCTGAATTACATGCTTCTGATATTTTGGCAGAGCTGAATAACATGCCAGACTTGTCAAGCTTATGACAAGTCTAAAATTACTCGGTATTCCAAACTTGTTTCCAGAAGATGCGGCTTTCAAACTATCCAGTAAATATCCCACATAGTCCTTTCCCTTCAGTGCCAGAACTTCAGATAGGATGAATCTTGCTTTGGAAGAAATGTACTTGCTGGGAGAATAAATCATCATAAGGACTGCTCTAGATGCTGGTTCACTCTCTGATGAATGACAAGCATTCCCTTGAGAAATTTGGCGAGAGGTGAGGATAGAGTCCACGAAGGCCATGCTTTCAAAGACAAAAACAAACAGAAGCACATGCAGAGTGATT